CTTAACTATTTTTATTTTACGTTCACTGGTGTTTTACCTCCATTTATGTCTGTGTGAGGGTGTCAGATTTATTGGAACTGGAGTTACAGACAGTAGTGAGTTGCTGTGTGGGTGCAGGGAATTGAACCCAGGAAGAGCAGTCAGTGCTCTTAACTGCTGAGCTATCTCTCCAGCCCTCTCATCAGGCATTAACAGATCCATTTTTAAAAGATTTATTCTTCTTTATGTGTATGTGTAAGTGCTTGTCTGAAGGTTTACACCGTGTGTGTGTGCTGTCTGCGGAGGCAAGAAGAAGGATTGGAATTGGATTTATAGGTGACCGTGAGCCATCATGTGGGTGCTGGGAACCATACCTGGAGCCTCTATAAGAACAGGACCATTGGACCATCTTTCCAGTCCCTTAACAGATAGGTACCGTAGAGCAGTGAGGCAGGAAAAACAGCTGAATACAACAGAACAGATATAATTAAAAAATAATGGGATGCCAGGCAGTGATGGCACACACATTTAATTCCAGCACTGGGGAGGCAGACACAGGCAGATATCTGTGAGTTCAAGGCTATCCTGGTCTACTGAGCAAGTTCCAGGACAGCCTCCAAAAAAGCTGCAAAGAAACTCTTGTTTCAAAAAACCAAAAACCAATACCAAAAACCAATACCAAAAACCAAAACAAAACCAATGGGACATGGTCCTGGCCATGTTTATTAGCCATGCCGTTGCGACACAGGCCTTTCTTTAATCCCAGGAGGCAGAGGCAGGTGAATCTCTGTGAGTTCCAGGCCAGCCTGGTCTACAGAGTGAGTTCTAGGACAGCCAAAGCTACACAGAGAAACCCTGTCTTGAGAAACCAAAATACAATGGAAAAAAAAAAAAAAAAAAACCCAAACAAACAAAAGAACAAAAAACATGGGACATTAGTTTCTTTTAAAGATGTCATTTCCAACCAGTGCATAACGGTAAGATACTCATTATTTGTTCATTTAGTGGTGTAGAGGACCAAATCAAGGGCCTCATGCATACTAGAGCAGCACTCTACCCCGAGTGTTAGCAAAGATAGTATTAGTTCAGTATGGTAATTCAGACTTGTAATTCTAGCTTGGAGGAATAAGCTGTAAATTTCAGGCCAATCTGGGCTACATAGTATAGACCTGGTCAAAAAATAAAAAATAAGAAAAAAAAAATTAAAGGATTGGGGTTACAGCTCAGTAGCACAACACTTCCTGTGACTTTCAGGATGTGCTGGCTGGAGAGGGAGGGAGGGAGAGGGAGAAGGAGGGAGGGAGAGAGAGGAGGGAAGGGGAAGGGGAGGAAGACCAGACATAAGGGCCTTAGTAACCCAGCACTTAGCAGGCTGAGGCAGGCCATCCTGGTTACACAGTGAGACTCCCGGGGAGGTGAAGTGGGGTGGGGCAAGGGGATTAATATGAATGAGACCATTTAGAAAACAAAAGCAAATTTGGCCTGGGCTTGTAGCTCAGTTGGTGGAGTGCTTGGCTAGCTCACACAAAGCTCCTGGTTCAGTCCTTAGCATTGCATAAAAACAGGCAGGCGTGGTAATACTATAACCCCAGCACCCGGGGGTAAAGGCAGGAGGATCTAAAGTTTAGGATTATCCTTCCAGCTACATACTGAGTTCAGGCCTATCTCAAAAACAAAAAGAGCAAACTGAACCTCTATTTCAGAAATTGTGTGGAAATAAATTTAAAATAGAGACTTAATGTTCAAAAAGAGAATTCAGATGAATTATAATAAAATCACTGGAAACTTGGGAATAAAAACATGCACCTCTAAAATCATGAAGAGATAAACCCAGCTAACCCTGATTATAAGATTGTAAAATTTCCTTATGTCAGAACAAAAACAAACACACAATCACCAAAAATGAAAAGGCAGCAGAAGGGAAGGCACAACCCTACTCCCTCCCCAACACACACACACACACACACACACACACACACACACACCATGCATGCATGAACACTTGAATACAGGTGTGTTCATGAAGGTGACCTCTGTTGCTCACTGCCACATTCCCTTGGGTTTTGGACAGGCTGGTGTCTCCAGTTCCTACCTCCCAGTTCTAGGGTCCAGCCATGTCTGGCTTTTTAGGTGGGTGCTGAAGAGCCAAACTCAAGTCCTCAAGCTTAAAGAAATAAGTCCTTGTCTTAGGGTTACTACTGCTGTAAGGAAACATCATGACCAAAAATACTTTGGGGAAGAAAGGGTTTATTCTGTTTATACTTTCCAGGTAAGGAACCATCCATCATTGAAGGAAGTCAGGGCAGGAACTCAAACAGGGCAGGAACCTGGAGGTAGGAGCTGATGCAAAGGCCTTGGAGGGTGGGAGGGTTCTGCTTATAGTCTTACACCACTTGGCTTGCTCAGCCTGCTTACCTTTTGCTCAGCCTGCTTACCTTGCTTGCTTTTTTTTTTTTTTTTTGAGACCGGGTTTCTCTGTGAACCCTTGGCTGTCCTGGAACTCAATCTCACAGAGAGGTCCACCTGCCTCTGCCTCTTGGGTGCTGGGATTAAAGGCTTGTGCCACCACTGCCTTGTACTGACTAAGGCTGCTTTCTATAGAACCCAGGACCACCAGCCCAGAGATGGCTCCACCCACAATGAGCTGGGCTCTCCCCATGGATAACTAAGAAAAGTGTCCCAAGCCTAAGGCTTGATCTTCTCAATTGAAGATACCTCCTTTCAGATGACTCACTAGCTTGTGTTAAATTGACATAAAATTAGCCAGCACAGTGCTTTTATCCACTGAACCGTCTCCATTGATCTTCATTTTTATTTTATTTTTTTTTAAACAACGACTAAACCATGTTTATTTAGGGGGTTTGCATACCACAGTGTGGAGATTGAGGGCAATGTGTGACTCCTCTCTTTTCACCATGGCGACTCAGGGGATCCCCTTGTTCATCAAGCTTGAAAACAAACACTCTTACCCACTGAGTCACCCTGCTAGCGCCCCCCCCCACACACACACACACAATACACACTTGATGGTCACTAGTCCAGTCTGGCCTTGAACTTGCCCTGTGGGCAGCGATGACCTTACACTCTTGATCTTCCTGCTTCTACCTTCTGAGTGCTGAATTTATACAGTGCTAGAGATTGAACTCAAGACCTTACGCATGCTAGACAAGTACTCTACCAGCTGAGATATATTCCAGCACTTGGGTTTCTAATGTCAGACCACAAGACTTTTTTTGTTTGTTTGTTTTTATGCTTTTGCTTTTCGAGACAGGGTTTCTCTGTATTGTTTTGTAGCCTGTCCTGGAACTCGCTCTGTAGATCAGGCTGACCTTGAACTCCCAAGAGATCCGCCTGCCTCTGCCTCCCGAGTGCTGGGATTAAAGGTGTGTACCGCCAACGCCCAGCCAAACCACAATACTTTTAAGTACTGGGCCGGACATACTGTCTTATGATTCACTTTGCAGTTGGGGAAATGAGGCCTAGAAGCTGAAGCTCGATGCCAACATTTATGTTGTGTTAGAGCTTGAATTGGTTCCAGTGGGCTAAATCCTTTCTTCTGGTTTATTTTGAGGTGCCTGGGATGAGAACCCAGTCTCGTACTTGCTAGGCCAGTGCCTCCCAAAGATGTGGGCTCCAGCCCTGGCTGGACATCTTGTATTCTGTTGCCCTCCCGCTGCCCCTTTTGTGTCCTCTAAAGCCCACCTCCCCTGATCTGGAAACTTAAGTGAGCTTGCATCACTGCAGCAGGCCCAATGAAATCCCATCCATGCCTCTCAGCTGTGTGCAGGCTCAGCACACTTGGTCCTACTATGACCCCTCCCTCCATGCTCATCTCCCGCCCTCCCTTAATCCCCCTTGCTGAAGTAGCATCACCACTGCTCCTGGGTGGGACCTTTATGCCAGTTGCTGAATCTGCCTGGAAGGCCATGCCTCCAGGTCTTTACCCAAGTGCCAGCCTTTGTTTTTTTTTGGGGGGGGGTTGGGGGGTGCTGTTTTGTAGCACCTGCAGAAGGTGCACAGAGTAGTGTCAGGCCCGCCCTCTGTGGGCAGCTGACTTGATGGCTTGGTAAGGTGAATGCTTGCCTCATCACCCTAGCGGGCAGGTAGTCTCCCTCTGAAGTAATTGGTGGTAATCAGTGACTTCTCAGTGCTTTCAGATGCTTGAACGGTGTCCACTCTGGCTGAGCTAAATTTCTGTCCTTCACGTCCCGTGGCTAGGCGTCTGCTTTGGGAGTGCGGTCATAAAGGGCTTTTTGTAAGAGTTTCACAGAGCATATGCCTCTAACATGTTTCCAGGAGTGCCTACTGCTGAGCCTGGGGGTGGCATGAAGGCAGTAAGGAATAAGGACCCAGTTTTTTGTTGTTGTTTTTCCTGCTATGGAATCCTTCCCACACTGGGAGCTGGGAGAATTCTTGGTCAATAAGCTGGGTCACCTAATTCCTTGTGGAGACCCACACTGTGGCCACTTCAAGGCCAGAGGGGGTTGGCCAGAGGGTCAAGGACACTGACAACCACCAAGCAGCTCAGGGTTCCTCGAGGAGGGGAAGCCCCTGGAGGGAGGGCAAGGCTTGGGAGGCTCCTGGCATTCTGAAGTGCCTGGCAGGCTCCTCTGAGTAGGAGGCCCTGGGACTTGGGGTGTTTTATTGCGAGCTTGGTAAATGAGTGTACACTTGGTACCTTCAGGAGACAGTCCTGCCCTCCTGAGCTACAGGGTTCGCTTTTATCAGTCGGAGGAGAGGTGGGTTATCTGGGTTCAGTTCCACCTTTGAACTTCCGCTTCAGCTGCCTTTGCCTTTATATTTCAAGACCAGATGTCCACCACTACTATAGTGACTCAGGCCAGGCGAGGTCAAAGGTTTCAAGAAATGTGTTGGAAAGAGGCAGGAAATCCTGAGCCCGAATTATCTCATTCAGAGCACCGAAGGACAGCTTCTGTGTTGGGAACACCCACATTGCCCTAGATGGGCTGAACAAAGTTGTGACCCTAGACTCCCGCACCCCAGTGGATGAGAAGTAAAGGGCTAACAGGGAGAGTGGGAGAAGTGAATTGCTGAATTGATTTGAAAACACATTTAATTTCAGGAGTAAAAGGCGCTAATGAGTAGCACGCCTAAATCCTTTTTTTCTAAGCGTGAGTTTCATATTGACAGTAAAATCTTTAGCATGTGCAGAATGAAGTCTGTGTGCTGTTAATTTGAAGTGTTGTCATCTTTTCTAATCCGTCAACAGGGAGCTCCGAACCTGTGGCTGTAATTACAAATCAAACCTGTAGAGGGAGACTTGTCTATCATAGATTGTTCACAATGCAAAGCTTTCAGAGGAAGAAAGAAAAGGGCTTTTTAAAGAAAAGTTGGAGGGTTAAAGGCAGTCTGTTTCAAAATTGCAAACAATCGCGGTGGCTGTCTCGTTTGCTATCCTCTGCTGAATCCACTGTGAATGAGTTGTATCGTAAAGGAATCTGTAGAAATTGCCCTTCCTCCTCAGAGGAACCTGGAGGTGGGCTCGTTATTGGGTTTCTTTTGGGGGGCGGGGCATCTCCCCACAGTATTACACGAACGTTTCTATCCTTGTTAAAGCACAAGCTTTATTCGAGGCCCATATGTTCTAACCCGCTCTTTGGACTTGGTGATGGGGAGTTCGAGGGGGCATTTGCCCCTAACCCATTTTCCTCTGTCGATGTTTTAATTCTGCTGTAAGGAGACTAGCTTGTTAGGTCTCAGGAGAGCCCGAGGTTGCCCGGAAATTCAGGGTACCCCTCTGCCACATCGCGCCACCCTATTCTGTCTTCTCCTGAAGCGAGGAGAAAGGTCTGTTTGCACCGTGGAGGACCTCACCTTGGGTCGTGCGGCTTCCTTTCCCTGCAGAGTCCCTGCGTACTGTGCGCGCCCAGGTCTGGGCAGCATTATTGATATTATGCTATGACTTTACAACTGTAGCCAGAGCGCCGTAAGGAGCCGGCACCGTGTGGTCGGCTGGAGCACAATGACCCGCGGAGTGGGGCGGGGACCTTCAGAGGGAGCCGGGAGCGAGCGGGCGGCGGGCGCTCGGGGTCGCCGGAATGTTTGGGTCGAACAGGTGAGCGCAGCCTGGACACTGGAGCTGACGGCAGAGCGGAAAGGAGGGTGCAGGGGCGGGTGCAAACTAAGTGGTGGGAAAGAGACAAAGGAAGAGTGAGAGGCGAGATGGTGCGGAATAGAGGGGAGGCGAGGGGAGGGGAGGGGAGGAGGCGGCCCGTGGGTAGGGTGCCGAGGAGCTCAAGCTTGAACTTGATCGAGAAAGGGGGCCCTGGGGTGTGGGCGGGGGCCCGACCAAGAGTCGGCCACGTGCCTGGCTTTTCCTTGTCAGGGTCCCACTAAGACAAACTAGAGCTGAACCCTCGGGTCCCTCAACCCTGCCGGATGAGCACCCGCGTCGCCCAGGATTGAGAGACGCATAAGATCGAAAGCTGTATGGAGGCCCCATGGCACCAAGAGTTCCCTACGATGCACGCCTTAGTCACTTTCTTTGGGCCAAGTCTCCCTCTCCTAGCCTGAACGCAGACAGCTCGCAGGGTACGCCCCCCACCCCGCCCCAAGACTTGAAGTCCGCAGCCTCTGGGAGCCAGGGGCAAGCCCAGCTCCCATCGCCTCCTTTCCTGGGCTGCACGCCCCCAGGGATCTTCCTCCAAGCTCTTCTCCCTTAAGAGAGCTCTACCCAGCAGCGCACGGCAGCGCGTCCAGCGCGCCTGGTCCTCATACCTGGCCCAGCAAGCCTCCTTCCTCCTCCCCCCCTCCCCACGCTCCTTTCTCCTCTCCCCTCTCCCTGGGTGCCTCCTTTTCCTCTCTTCCCCCTCCCCCCCCATGTCCACCCCTCCCTCTCGCCCGCCCCTCACCTCCTCCTGCTGCTCCTCCTACTCCCCCTGAGTGCGTCCTCCGGAGCTCCCCTCCCCCCGGCCCCCGCCCCGTGCCCGGTCCCGCCCCCTCCCCCGCCTCCCCGTGCCCGGTGTCCCCCTCCCCCTTCCTCCCGGGCCGCGGCGCCGCCGCCGCCGCCGCCGCTCGCCTGGGCCCTCCCCCTGGTCACCCCCGCCCCCGGGCCGGGCAGTGACGCGCCGCAGCGGTGCCAGCCCCTCTCCCCGGGCGGCCGCGGCGGCAGCAGCAGTAGCGGCAGCAGCAGCAGCTGGAGCGGTGGGGCTGTCACCGCCTCCCGCCTGGTTCACTCCCAGAGCCAGACCGCGGGTCTGCGCCTCGCCGCCGGCCCAGGTACGGAGTCCTGGGGGACCCCGCGACCGGACTGGTCCTGGGCCCTCGGCCGCCGCCCCCTCCTCCTGCCCTGCCGCTGGCCGTTGAGCTGCGGTTAGGGGAGCTGGGGGGTTCCGAGGAGGGGGACTCACGGGGAGCTTCCTGCGCCGGGCGAGCTGCTGGCCCTGGGTGGAGTGGGCTGGGGCTGGGGGCGGGCGAGTGTGCCCGAGAGCGGGGAGGGGCGGAGGCTGCGCTCCGGGGCCTGCGGGGTGCCCGAGAGGTGCGCCTAGCCTCAAGTGCCGGGAGCTGCCGGGCGCACCCCACTCCTGGCGCTGCGCGCCGCCGGTCCTGGGGGGCGGTGATTGTGTGCGCCGCGCCGCGGTATTGTGCCGCGGCCACGCCGTTTGCAGCGGGCTCCGCACCGCGTCCCCGGGAGGAAGACGTTCGCGGGCGGCGGGGGCGGGGGCCGGGGCCGGGCTCGAGCTCGAGTGGCCGCTGCCTCCGGGAGAAAGGAAGTGGACTGTGTTTGGGGATGTGGGGACGGGAAGCGTACAGGCAGGGAGGGGCTCCTTGCCACGGCGCGGGGAGTTGAGACGCGGTTTGCTCAGTTGAGCCCACTTTGGCAGGCTTCTGTCGCTCTACCAGGGGACCGGCAGCCCCTCTCGTGTGCACCCTCTGAGCAGAAGCAAGGGTTGCGGGGACCGCTGTGAAGGGACACACAGCTCCAGGGCCTGCGGAGAGCGCGCGCAAGGGTTAAGGTGGATTTACACCTCCGCCCTCCTGCTGCTCGCTGCCCTTCACCTAGGGCTCCCAGGCAGGATACACTGGCTGAGGGGGGGCGGCGATAGGGTGGGGGGGAGAATGCAGTTTGCCTTCCCATTCCGGCCTCTTGGGTTCAGAAGTGACCCTACGCTCAGTCTGAGCTGCGTTTGCGGGGAGTCCGGCCGCCTCTGCCAGGCCGAGCTTCCTGGGGGAAGTTCTCATTAAGCCTCACTAATTAGCATTATTCCCGGAGAAAGGTTAAGGTTAGATCGTCCTTTTCCTTACCGAGAGCCCCCTCCCTGCAATTCCCTTCTCCCTCCCCTCTCCCTCAGAGCACAAAAGCACAAAAAGAAAGTGTGAAGAGGCGCAGATCAATGGAGAAGCCACAAACCCATTAATTCAAATGGAACCCTTTCCCCCTCTAAAACATTGATTTTCCTTTCTGTCTGCTCTGAGGGGAGATGAATAACCTCCTGATTTCACCTGAAATGGTGTTTGGACTCTGTGATTTCCCCCTCTTCCTGAGGATTGTGACCTGAAATAGATTCTCCCTTGAGATAAAGCCCTACTTATCCCAGAATCAGCTGGAAGCCCCCTTCCCCCACTGCACACCAGTATTGGGGCCCGGGGAGAGTGACGGTGCTCTCCTCACCCCCGTGGGCAGAGAGTGATGGTGAGCCAGGTTTTTTGACCCCTGAAACATGCCTGCTTCTGAGCTGTGGGTTGGTGTGTGTGTGTGGGGGGGGGGAAGGGTCCATTGATGGCCCAGGCACCAGTGAGTAGCTTAACCCCAGGTTGTAAATTACCCTTCCATTGGAAAGCCATTTGAACCCAGATGTGTCTTTGAATGCAATCCAGGCTCCTCTGCTGGCCTGTCCTCTTGAGTAGTTTCAAGGCAGCACCTCCTTCTGCTCTCTCTGCCCCATTCAGCACCTTCCTACCAACCAGTGGCAAAGTGCACCCCAGCCTACCTCCCTGCTGAGAAGGTTAACTTTGAGGAACTTCTTCCCCAGGACCTCAGCCATCCTGGGGCAATAGGGAGCTGGTCCATCCCTGAGTTGCTCAAGAACTTTTTAGTCTGACCTGAGTCCTTTTCTTGGAAAAGGTAGACCCGGAGAGGGTTAGCTCAGAGTGCTTCCTCTCTGGCCATCCTTTTGGCTGGAAGAACTCTCATTGCCCAAGAAACTCAGATCCTCATTGATGGCAGGAGCTGGGGTATCAGTGAGGTCTCATGGTGAGGAATGCTGGGTAAACAGTTAGTTGCCTTTGCCTTTGCTTAGGAACAAAAGCCCATACACTAATGGGAAGGTGTGGAAAATGCTCACTCCAGCATCCAGGCATCCACTATGGGAAGGACAGTGGAGCATGCACATGGGTACATACATGAATATGGCGCTGACAGGCACAGTGTGAGAGTCTGTGAATGAGTGTGGGTGGGGGAGAGTGCTCCCCAAGTGTGGTGGGTGACTGGCTGGATGGAACACTCCTCCCCCCCCCCCCAAGAGTGTTAGCAAGAAGTAGAATTGTGTGTGCTGTCTCTCAGAAGACTCACCAGCGTTTCTGGTGGGCATTGATGGGGTACAGCTGAATTCAGCAACAGTGTTGGAAGCCTCAAGTGCCCAGGAGCCGACTCAGATCTATCTCCCTCCTGTTTTTTTCTTTTTTGTTTTGTTTTGTTTTGTTTTTTTTCTTTTCTTTTCTTCTGAGACAGGGTTTCTCTGTAGCTTTGGAGGCTGTTGTCCTGGAAGTAGCTCTTTTAGACCAGGCTGGTCTCGAACTCACAAGAGATCTGCCACTACCGCCCAGCCTCCCTCCTGTTTTTTTTTTTTTTTTTTTTTTTTTCATGCAACACCATCACAACAGGGGCATGAACCTTTGCTTGCTTTGGAGCCTGAGAGTTTTTTCAGTTTCCATTAGTGAGTGCCTGATGAGCTGAAGTAGTTAAGCTGGGGTCAAATGTGGTTCAGCACTTTCTTGGCATATTCCGAGTGATGTGTGTAATGCTCACCCCAAACAGCTCAGGGGCTGAGCATTCCCTGACCTGGCTGGGCTCACTCACAGGTGACCCAGAAGCTGATGTCCAACACTAGACTGAGAAGCCACCAACCACATCCTAGTATTAGTATATATGCTAATTTGAGAGCTGGGGCTGGAGGGAGGGGCACACTGGTGTTCTTTCCAGTTGTCCAAAAGCCTGGGGGCAGTGGGGTTGGGGGGGGTAGCCAGCCGGGAGTGTCTGTTTCCTGCCTGACCTAGGAGCATCCTTGAACATCCCCACCCCCACCATGGTCTGAAACCCACACCCAGGGCTGCAGATCAGGCAGGCCTTATGGCCTCGCTAGTACTGAATTCTCGGTAAATCCTCCTCCCTTTCTTTCTCAAGTGAGTGGTTGAGATAGAGTTACAGCTCTGAGGAAAGGCCTGGAAAATACTGTAGCAGGCACGCCCCAGAATTCCGAGTCCTGGAAGATGCAAATGGCTCGGCTTCAGAGGCACCAGGAACCTAGTTCCAGAGAAGTTGACCCCAGTTGTAAAATAATCAGGTTACTGATAGCACCTGCCCATAGTTATAGCCATGGATACAGGCCTGCTTCCACTTTCCTCCATATGTCTCCTGAATTCCCCTCCTCTGGGCTGCACAGTGGGTTGGTGCTGTAGAGGTCTGCAGAGGAGGAAGGGCCTGGGCTAGCTGGGTGGGGATAGATGGAACTAGGTCCTGAATTTTGGACTGAAGATAAGAGACTCAGGGGTTTGGTCAGCTCCTCTCTGTACCCAGAGTGAGAACTCTCAGGTTGGGGGTGTGTCCTAAAGACTGGCTGCTACTTACTCTGCCAGGCCAACACAAGAGTACCCCCTTTGAGAAGGTCAGTTGGCCCTGCTGCCCTGTGGCCCATGATGGCACAAGCTCCGTGGTGTATGATCTGATGAACTTTTATTGCCAGGTGGGCAAGGCCGCAGCTCCCAGGTCAGTCACACAGAATCTCAGGAAAGGGATTTTAGAAGCATGGCATGCATACTTTTAATTTCAAATAAGCGTCCCAGTGAAGTTACTTAACAGAGGGAGAAATTAGTAGCCCATGTTGTGAGATTTAAGAAGGGAGCCAGAAGTAGTGACCTGTTTGTGGCCTCATGAGGGAGCAGGGGGTGGGGTGCCTGGGGTCTTCTGGCTTCAGGCATGGTTGCCATTCCCGACCTGGGTTGGTTGCCTCCCTTTCTTCCTCCCTCCCCCACAGGTCCCTCTGGACTCAGGGTGATGGGTCTGAACTGTGTGCTCTGGTAATTGCCCATGTAATTAGCCTGCCTTGCCAGCCTCAGCTCAGGGGTGAATAGGTGAGTAGAGAGTTTGAGTCTGCTCCTCTGTAATGTGGGCCTTGTCCGGTTGACAGCCCAGCTCTGCTACAGGTAGGGCTTACAGAAGGCTGTCTGCAGGTCAGCCCTGCAAGTGTAGGTGTTGGAGGTGGTCGTGGGTGTCAGTCTGGCCACATCCACAGCTACAGCTTACTCGGTTTTGTTTGTTTTCTGAAAAATTTAGGTTTAATAGTCTTGATTTATCACTTAAAAAAAAAAAAAAAAGCCATAGCAGTCAGTGTTTGGGTTTTCAAAATTCCCAGAGCCATCTTTCACAGTTAGGATGGCAGAGACCTGGGTGCTATGGAAAAGTCCCTGGGGAGAGGGCCATGGTGTTCAGTAACTGCAGTGCCCCAGAGCCCTTCTCCACACTTGTAAGTGGGCCAGAAGTTTTAGCTGATTCCTCTCCCCAGATACAGTCTGAGGGTAGGGATCCCTCCTTAGCCATATAGATCCCTAGGTCAACTCAGCACAAAGTAGATGTTCAATAATGTGCATGAAACTCGGCGTGTGTGTGTGTGTCTGTGTGTGTGTGTGTGTGTGTGTGTGTGTGTGTGTGTAGTGCTCCCCCCCCCCCTTTATCTTGAGGCACTTTTGTTCAAAGGATGGAAAGTGCCATTTCATGGCTCTGGGTGCAGACTGTCTAGATTCCGATCCCAGCTCTGCCCCTAGTTCTGTTGCCCTGGACAGTTGGGGCAAGCCTTTGAGATGGAGTATGACTAGACCTGGAGAGAGGCCTGCCCTGCTGGGCCTTGTGGGGCCATTGTGAGGAAATCTTAGGAAGCCCTTGTCCCAGAGCCGGAGAGCCTCGAGCATGCAGGTATTGGATGCTTTTTCTTTCCAGGTAATTTCTGTGTCAGTCTGAAATGCAGTCCCATCTATTGGGCAGGGTGTGGTAGAGCCCTTTTTCCTGAACAGTTCAGCTATCTAAGCCAGAGCAGCCCTAGGCCTTTTGTGGGATGGCTAGCAGACGTAACTAAGGGATGCATGCAGCCTCTGGCCCACTTTTCATGTGGCCCCTGTTTAAGAACTGTGCAGTGGGACCACAGCCCCTAATTGTCAGATTAATGCAGCATCCTCATTAAAACACCACATCCTGCCAGGCAGTTTAGTCAGTTCAACAAGTCTTGCTACCTCATGAGAAACTGAGAGAACAGGCAGTCTGGTCCCTACTACTGGAAGGCCCAAGAGCCTTCTGGGGTGACAGGACAGAGCCCCACGGCAGTTTTGTGTTGTGACTGGGCTGGTGGTGCAGACAGGCAGGCTGTTTACAAGAGGAGCTGTGGAGCACGGGCAGCAACTGATGTGAATGAAGCCACTTCATGCTCCGTGGATGGGGAGTAGCAGGAAGGCCAGGAACTGTAGTCCCAGCACTTAGCAAGACCCTGGGTCCACAGCTGGTGTCCAGGAAACCCGGGAGTGAACAAGTGGGCGTGAATAGGTGGCTGTCCAACTCTGGAGGCTGAGACAGGAGGATGGCAAACTGGAGGCCAGTCTAGGCCACATAGGTAGCGCCTCTTTCTTCTCTTTGTTTTGTTTTGAGACAGGTTTAGTCTGTGTAGCCCCTAGTGTCAGAGAACTCAACTCTATAGACTAAGCTAGCCTCAAACTTAGAGACTCCTTGCCTCTGTGCTGCCACCCAGCTGCCTCCTGTTTCAAAAGGTATTAAAAAAAAAAAAAAATACAGCTAGGAAACAGTCGCTTAATTGGTGCATTCTCCACAGTGCTTCTGAGTTCTCCTGCCTATGAGAGGCCCAGGGAAGAGACCCTGCTTCTGCCTCCCAGAGCCCATCCTTGGAGTCAGCAGGGGAACAGGAAAGTCCTCGCTCTGCTCTGTCCTGCTCTGTGTCCTTGCTCTATACCTTCAAGAGATCTTTCCCTGTTGTATCTTTTGTGCAAAGAGCCTGTAGAGTATGCATAGCATGCCGTCCCTGTTGGCTGCGACACACGTGCTGTCATGAAGGCAGGCTGTGGGAAGCTTGTGTGTATAGTAAGGTAGCACAGAGGATGAGTGTATGTAACTAGCACTTGTATGGGAGAACACACTGGGCTCTGTCCCCAGGGTTCCTGGTGTGTACATTTTGGACCTGCAGTGTTGTAGCTCAGCTTCTGTCCTCTGGACTCGGCACAGAGGGTCCATGCTGCTGCATAGAAGCTGTGAATTCCAGGAAACTGCTGCCAGCAGGCATGGTTGGGGGAGGGAGGGAGACTCAACCTCCGGTTCCCTAGCACTTGGAGCAGATGTGTCTGCCTCAGGGACAGCAGTTGAAGAAAGTTCAAACCAGAGTGTGTTTGCTCACCATAAAAGAGATGTCTGTGAGAGGGCCCTGTAGGGTGGCTCCAAGGGTGCTCTGCCATGGGCCCACGGAGGCTGTTATATCTTGCTAGGGGTTGGGGCACAAGGTCAGGGCTCCACAAGCGCCACTGCTGGGCCATCTTCTCTGTGTAATACAGCCAGAGCCCCAACCCAGTTGCTTGCTGCTCTTGAAAGGGGCTGGATCAGAAGGAGGTGGGGTTCCTTCCTGCTGGAAGGCTGGACTAAAGGGGCCCCATCCCGGGGCTTCCCAGATGACTCGCCAAGGGCACACCGAAGCCAGCAGTCAGGGGAAAGGAGCCAGTGCTGTCCTCTCCAGCAGCCTATCTGCTGTTTGGAAGGCCTTGGCACACTCTCCCCCTGTCTCTTCTTGGTGTGATCAGAACCCTGGCCTGCCCCACCCCCTTCCTTCTCCACACTTCTGGGTTTGGCCTGCTCAACTCTGGAAGCCGCCCAAGAGCATATCTTTGAAGCACAGCAAAGGTTAGGAAGGAGGAAGACAGAAATGTCCTCTGGGCTGGGGGAGAGGGAGAAAGGAATTCCATGTATGCTCCACAGGAGTTGGCGGCAAGCCTGGTGGGGGCTGCCACCTTGCCTCCTCGGTGCCCAGCATGTCTTGCTACCCAGTGCAGGCACTGTTCAGAGTGAGCCCTCTTCCTCGGGCTCTGGGTGGGGGAATGCTGGCTCTTGTTTACAGCACTCATTTCAACCTTGGCTCATAAGGGGAAGAGCCAGGCCCTGCTATCCGCTCCACAGGATGAGACCTCTTAATTGTCTTCAATTACAGACAGTACGGGCCCTCAGCCCTGGCTTCCACTAGGAACCAGAGCCCAAGCCACTTCAGAAGGTCAGGGGGAATGCCATCCAGCTCTCACTGCAAGCTCTCAGGGGCTCCCTGGGCCCTCTGGGACCCTTTCTAGTCTGCCCCAAAGACCACCCGGACTCAGTGTGCGCCTGCTCTTGTTGAACACCTTCTTTGCCTCTGTTCAGGATGAAACGTCTGTGAGCAGTGAAGATTTTGATATGAATGACTCCACATGGATGTCAGCTGACCCCCACCTGGCCTCCAGCCTGAGCCCCAGCCAGGAAGAGAGGATGCGGAGCCCGCAGAACCTCCATAGCCAAGAGGATGGTGAGTGACCCTTGGCAGCTGGCAGGGAGGCCGCAAATTGTCCTGTGAGTGGCCTGCAGTGCTCTGGGTGGTGGGACCCAGGTGACACTGGGGCGTCCCTGTTGTGCTTGAAAGCTGGTATTGTCTGCATCTGTGCAAGCCCAGCTGCCCCAAAGAGAAAAGGTTGCTCTCATGTGCAGGGCACCTGACTGGCCATGGGGGTGGCCTATTGTCTGTTTGCTCCTGTCCTTGCTCGTGGGCTCGCCAGATGAGGGCTTCAGAATCACCATGATTCAGGTCTAGGAAGGTCAGGGATGTGTGTGACCTGGAGCTGTGTTCTTGTGACCCAGGGAAGACTGGCTTTGGGACAGAGCTACCTGGTCAGTGGCCAGGCAGTTGGTAGCTGACCAGGGTGGACTGGGCTACTATTTGTCTGGATTTTCTTGGGGTTGGAGAGTCAGGGTCAGAAGTCAGATGTTCATTCCATGGTTCCATATAAAGCCTGGGAATTGGCTCTGGGCCCTATGTCAACTGGACCTGGCCAGGTTGGGATGTGGTATAGGCAGCCCTTGTAGGCCGAGGCCCCTGTAGGGCTCGTTTCCAGGACTAGATCACTAGGAGTAAGGGATGAACCCATAGCTAGGCCTCAGAGAACTGGGGTATAGGGGCTGGTAATTAGGAAAGGTCAAAGGTCAGGGCTTGGAATGTGGGAGGGAGGCACACGGTTGAAAAGGGGCGTAATGTTAACTCTGCAAAAAAAAAAAAAAAAGGGTGAGCCTTAAAGAGTAAATAAGGGGTAGGAGCCTTGCTGTTTGGGTCAAAGTTCATCTCCATGGCAGAACCCACACACTGATCCTCCCTCCCAGCCTGAGTCCAGCTTTATCTGGGAGGAGTGTAGCACACAGGCAACTGGAAGTATCTGGGCCTGGAGCTAGGGAACCTGGGGGTGGCTGTGTGAGGAGTGGGGTGCCAGGCTGCTGGGAAAGAAAAGGCTTCTGTGCCTTGATGCCTCGTGAGGTCAGCAAGACCTCCTCGTGCTGTGAGCCCCCAGACTACTGTTGCCTTATAGCATTCCCACGGGGTGGGGCCCGATGGGGGCTCTGGGGTAGGGACAGCCCAGCAGCTGACTCCAGCCTCATCTGAGCGGACTGAGAGCCACACCCAACAGCGTACCAAGAGCCATGTTAGCAGCGCTCAGCAAGCACCCTTGGTTATGCCTTCTTCCCGAGAAAGATCTAATTTTTTTTTTCTTCTTCTTCTTCCTCCTCCTCCTCCTCGTCATCCTCCTCCTCGTCTGGAGTAGTAAGGCTGTCTCAATCCCCAAAGGTCTGGTTGTGCCGTTGCTCCTTACTGTACCCTTTTGGAACCATGGTCACTGTTCAAGAACACTGCCTTGGAGTCTCAGTGGATTGAGGTTGTCAGGATTGTCAGCAAGCCAACTGGGGGTTTCTGCTGGGGCTGTAATGTCCGATCTAGGACTTGGTGATGGTGCAGTGCAGGTGAAGAGGCAGAGGCGGTTAGCTGTCCTGGCTGTGGGCAGGGGACATGTCATAGGCAGGCTGGCCTGCTAGTGGGCTAGCGTTTATGAGGGCAAACAGCAGAGCTAGGAACAGGGAGGATGGTGTTGGTCACAGGCCACCGATTTAATTATTGAATCAGTGGCTGATCCTGGAGACTGGAGGCTGATGTGTTTGCCAGAGGCCAGCCTAGAACCAGTGCAGAGGGTGTATATATATGCCTTAAGGAAACCCAGACATCTGTTCTGGTCTCTGTTACCTCTCATGTCTTTGGGGCCTGCTGGTGACCAAAGTGTCTGCTCAAAGGATTTCTCACAGGGTTTTGGTTGGTCATGAACACAGCCTGAAGTACTGGTCTAGCCCTCCAGCTGTGCCCCACAATGTGTGCTCAGTATAGATTTTGTGAGCTGACATCTGGCCCCCATGAGTGAGCCAATGTCTCTTACTATTCTTAAAGGACTAGGGGTGGGAACAAATTCAGCAGGTGGCTTTGGTAATGTATCCCACACCCAACCCTAACTCTGCTTGTGTGTCTATCCCTGGAAACGCTTGCCCCCCCAACCCCACCTAGCTCTTAATCCTTTGGAGCCCATTGGATGGATAGGCATCTGGATATCTCCTCCCTAGTTCTATAAGGTGCACTGTGCTCTGTATTAGTGCTGGCCATCGCTCTGCCCTGTGCTTCTCCAGCTGCATGCCTGGCCCATTACAGGGGTCTGTTGAATGTTTGTGGCCCAAATGAAAAGGCGAACTGACATTAATAGAGACTGCCCTTGAGTGTGGCAGACAGGGAAATAGAGGCCCCCTTCCTTGTTAGGGACAAGTTGGCTTCTTTGTTCCTGAGACCATACCCCAGCATGCCAGAAGTGCAGGGCTGCTGGGCACTTCCACCCCGACTACCTGTGATACAAGCCAGAGTGATGGCTAGAAGCCAGGCAGTTCGTACAGGCTATACCTCTAGGGATTATTAGTCAGTTAGGGCTACCCTTTAAGTTACTTTTGTGTTTGATTTTGAGACAGGGTCTTTCTATATGGCCCAGACTGACCTTAACTAGTATGAGTCCCCTCCCCTCAGCCCTGAGTGTTGGGGCCACAGACCTATGCCACCACTTCCGCCTTCTCTCTTTAAATTTTAACAAAAGCAGAAGAAGGCTGGGCCTTGGTAGGGCGGGTCCCATGGTCGGGACCATTGAACCCAGAGAATGGAAAGCATGCCAGCTTTTGCCACTAAATTGTCTCCTATTCTCCTGTCCCTGTCTCAGTCCTATCTTCCAGCCCTCCCCCCCCCAGGCCCTCCCATGGTAGTTTCCCCCTCCTTTGCTGAGGACCTGTTCTTGGGTGGCAGGCAGCAAGCCTCATTTCACAATGCTCTCTCAGTTGGGACCATGTTTGAGGCCTGTTTCTGGGCATCAGTCTTGTCCCATCTCACAGAGGAGGAAATTAAGGGTGGAGGCAGTCTGGCCGGCACCGAGAGGCTCCCTCCTCGCTCTACTCTGGCAGGCATTCCTATGAGGTGCAAGGGTCTTCACACATTGAGTGACACAGCTTCCTTCTTCCTCCTACCCATGCACAGCCCAAGGCCAGCTCTTGGCTTTGAGATTTTCTCTTGTGTCTGTCAGGGCTTCTGACCTAGGAGTTGACAAAGACAGAGAACCATTGAGATGTTGTACAGAGCTCTTAAAGTCTGGCATTGCCTTGGAGCTGAAAACCCATCATCCTATCATGACCCATCTGTGGGATTCTCTGTTTAGTGCTGTGTCTGTCTCCTCCCTATCCTGTTAGCACCCCAGGGGCCATAAGACAGGTCCCAGCACAAGGCAGTGTTGGGAAAACATGGGTGAGTGACTGAGTGACACCCAGGAGGTAAGCTAGCAGGTCTCCTGAAGGGCAGTCAAGCAGGACCAGGGTCCTAACCCTGTTTGCAGCTCCTCCTCCTGTTCCCCTGCCACGACTCTACAAGGCCCCTCACTGTGCCCCTTCCTGAATGGAAAACTTGAGGCCTGGCCTCCAGAAGGGATGCATGGGGGCAGGGAACGGACATTACTCATCCCCACCTCCACCGGCAGACAGGAAGCTCGCGCCAGGGGACAGTGGAGGGTCCTGCTTCCGCCCTTCTACAGCATAGGCTGGGGGGTTGACTGGCAGGAATTCTGCAGAGCACTGAAGCCTTTCAGGGCTAACGTGTGCCCTTCTCAGATGAGGCACTCCGGTGATCTGTCCTTGGAGACCTGCTGGATGTGGGTGCTTCCCACAGTTAGGTTGGGACTCCTACTTCCTACAGGCCAGTGCTGTGTCCTGGTGCCCAGCACTAAGCTGGGTGGAGTCAGGGAGGGGTTTTCAGCAGTCTGACCAAGTGACACACGAGGTTGTCAGCCTCTCCCATGTCTCCTTGGCTTTGGCAGGAGAGCATCAGGCACAGAGAAGTGGGTACCCTGCTGGGCTGTCACCTTCCTGAGGGCAGCCACTATGGTGATACAAATGGGTCTTGATGCTCCCCTCGCTTCCCTAGTTTGTGCATTGCAGATAATTCAGGACAGGAGCTCAAGAAGAGAAGAAAGAAGCAAAATGCTCCAGTATTGGGGCTCTCCTCCAGCTTCCCTGATGCTTGTGTGTCATCCATTCTCTTTGGTGGGAGGATCACACTGTGCTACATTTCTCCTCACATAATGGCTTCCCCTCTTTGCTGTCATTGGTCCTGTTGCTGTAAAAGTTGTCCAGTCTTTGCTGTGACCCCAGCCCCAGCACTATGCACTGAGTTCCTTAGGGCTCTGATATGGAAATGGCTTGTCCAGACCACAGGAAGCAGCCAGCCATTTGTCCTAGGCTTTGTCCCAGTCCCTGCCATGTGTAGATGCTCAATGATGACTATTGTGTGGCCATGGACTGCTGGGAGCCAGGCAAGGGCTCCTAGGAGGAGGCACTGGGCCGCAGCCTATCAGAGGAAGCAGGAGTGGGATTGGAGTCTCAGGGTCCCAAATGCCCCGCGGCCAAGAAAGGAAGTCAGGGCAGCCACAGACAGACTGCAGCATAGGCTACTTGCTACAGGGCCACTTCTGTGGGCCGAGGACTCACCTGGACCTGGCTTCCTGTAGGCCTGTCCTGTCCTCTGCGAGGGGTCTCTCTTCCCCACCGGCTGTTCTAAGCAAGTTGCTCACTCTGTGTCAGCCTCAGCACCTGTCTGGTGTGGCTGGATGGCTGTGACCACTAATCTTGGTGTGCCCTTAGAAGCTGTCAGAAGACCAAAGCTTTGGACCTTCCGGCTCCTGTGCCTTCTGAGTGGGGTCTTCTTCCACCCAGAAATGCCAACTGGGTATCTGAGCATCCCCTTGTGAGCAGCTGGGGTCTAGTCATGCTGGCTCAAAATTTTAGCGGTGCAGCCTCTCCTCTCCCAGCCAGACCCATGTGTCGGGGTGCATCCCTCCCAGGTTTTCCTCTGCTCTGGGCCCAGGGGAGGTGGGGGAAGACTTAGGCGCTAGCTCTCCCATCTGATACAGGTCCAGAGCC